CCAAGGAAAAGATAGTGAGAATTCTAAAACATTTTTGCGAGAAGTCTGCAAAACATATGGGTTAAAGACAAAATACACCGCAACTGTATTAACAGAGAAATAAAGAACTCTTTGTCATGATTCAGTTGTTCAAAACCTCATTCTGTTCCAAGATATGAGGTTTCTGCGTCTTGCCTGCACATATGATGCGGTTGTTCTTAGGCTTCCGGAGAAAGCGGAAGATGTCAGAAGAAGCTACCTGATGAATTAGAAAGACCTTACCTGAATCCATGCCTGCTGTTTAATATCGCCTTTGTGGGTTTTACCTTCATAACCTTTGCCACCATACTTCTGTTCTTCACTGATGCACTTGACGTGGTTTTTGTAGTCATCACCCCTTCAAAGTGATAGAAAGTTCCACCATCAGACTGGTTCTCCAACTGGAGGCTCCATCTGATGCTCACATGCTGCTCCTGCCTTCTGCACACCACAGTTTTACTATGCTTATCACCTCCTTCCTCCAAACTGTTCAATATAAAGCCCGCCCCCAAACTGTCTACCCATTTTTATACAAATGTCTTAAACCCCACTGAAAGGCAGTATTTTTTTTTTTTTTTTTTTGGTCCTAAGTGAGTATATATAGAATATAAGAAAGAAAAGTAATTCTCTACAATGGGGTGGCTTTAGCTTAAGCAACAAAATCCCTATGATTTTCTGGTAATATAGTAGGCCGTCACTAATTCGTTGTAGAATAAGTTAAAAGCTGGAGTAAAATGGTGGTATCTCGTCACTAAAAAGTTCTAGATGTGCAAGTCTTGGCAAACAAGGAGACTCGGTTCTGTCTCCTACGATCATTTTGAAGCTCCATGGGATCCTTGGGGAAATGTTTGGGACCAGGTCCCCCAATGAAAAACAACCCAATTTTCACCTGTTTTAAAGATCAGGCTTCCTCCCAGGATTAGTTATGAACAAAGTCTTTAGCAGTTTCCAAAAGTTGTTTTTAAAAAATCACTGCTCTAGAATGAAATTAAAATGGACTTTTAGCAAATGTCATCCAAACACCACAGAGGACACTGAGGCCGATGCACCAAAAACTGCCTTTGCACGTAAACCGTGTGAAGCTGAAGGGGACTCAGCAGAAGACTGAGGTGAGCCGTCTGCAAATAATGACCCACCTCAGGAAAGAGTAGGCAAGCAAGTCAAAGATCTGTCCTGCCCCCACGCCCTAGTCCTTACCTTTCCAGAGACGCCTCAGTGGAAGTACCTGACACACTCGGGGGCCAGGAGCTCACTCCTACCATCATCTGTGAACTTCTAAGGGGGCCAGGAGCTCACTCCTGCCATCATCTGTGAACTTCTAGGGGGGACCCAGTCTCCCCCGAGGCCCCCGCTACTGTGAATGAGTCAGCTCTTTTTCTGGTTTCTAAATCCAGCTCTTCAGTGACCAGCGCACCGTACTCCTGAAGCCTTACGATGGGTGGTCACCTCTTAGGGTCTAGTAATGGTGGCTAGGAGGTGTCGCTGAGTGCCACCAACAGACCAAATACTCCAGACAGCCTCAGCCCCCCTCCCTTTATCTTCTCTTTGGACCGTCCTTAGAAAGCAAATAGGCTGTAAAGCACTTTTTTTCTTAATTTCTTTCCTTAAACTTGCCTCCATTTTTTTTTTTTTTTAAGGCTTCATGGGGCCAGGGCTTCTAAAACTGGTCTGGACCTTTACTTTGATCTACATGAATTATGTAGAACTTACCAGAAATCTTTACCGCAGTCAATGCAAGACAGGCATTCACAGTTCCTGCAAATAGCCACATGCTTTTCCACTTGTACTTTCTTCACTGATTCACCACATGCATTGCATGTAAAAAATACCATTTTTAGCTAAATGGTGAAGTATTCTCTATCCAAGGCAGGTTTGAAGTCTTGTCCTAAGAGAAAATTAAAAGAAAGGAAAAAATAATTATCGTAATCTGAAACTTCTATTCCCAATAAACAATCATACAGCTCACTTTTCAACCATAATTTCACGTAAAATAGCTACAAAAAACAGAATCAAAGTTGATTAGCAAACTACATAAAACTCTACCAGCATGTAAGTGAAGTTATTACTAACAGTGATAGTGGCTGGCATTTGTTAAGCACATGCTTACCATGCGCAGGCCTGTTCTAAGAGCTTTATACATATTACCCTATTTAGTCTTCATAGCAACCCTGTGAGGGAAGGACTGTTACTGTGCACAATTTACATGGCGAGTGGACACAGAGATTAAGTTACTTCTCCAAGGTCACACAGTAGCAGACCCAGGATTTAAATTTGGCAGGCTGGCTCTCCGGAAGAAGTTTTAGGGGCATTAAGCAAAATGTCTTACCTTTTCTAATGTTAAGCTCGCTTGCCCGCCTCCCCCTTGCCTTTAGATGTGAACTGCCAAATTATTTCAGAACACAGTGAGTGGGGAATTCAGGAAGGATGTCTAAATGAAGAGGTCTAAATATTTCTGAAGAGGTCTTATATGAAATGACGAGGTCTAAATGAAGAGGTCTAATGAAGAGATCGAAATATTTCTCAAAGCACAGAAAACATTCACATAGGCATGACTGTGTATCCACAGGTGTTAAATATGAGGATGTGCCCCTCAGTTTTAGTGGACAGGGAGTAGGTGAGGGAGGGGCCACCTTCATGTGGCTTCTTATCAGATCAATAAAGAAGTGGAACCATGTATCAAGGTGTCCCAGCTGCTGGGCGCTGAATTACTGGACGGCATTCAGACCCACGTGTCCCAAGCATTGCTCCGAGATTTAGTATGTCTGTTGCAAATACATAACCACAATTTACAGATTTCATGGAAACACTCCTGTGCTCAACAAAACACAAATTCATCCAAAAGTATTACAGAGTCACAGTAACTTTCCATGGCTACATAATTTTTTAATCACTACATCCTTAAAGAATATTGTCATTTTATGTTATTTAAATAAATGAGTTTCACAGCAAAAATATTGACAACTGTTTGATCCAGCACCTTTTTCCTTCTTATTATAAAGGCGAAGGTGAGGGTCAAGTAAACTGGTGCACTCTGATTCGTACAGAAATCCTTCAGCACAGATGAGCAGTTGGGTTCACAAGAGAATTCCCATGCACGAAATCATGCTCTCTCTTCCACTCCCATGTTCTGGGTCACTGTCAGGGCTTTCCCTTGCCTTTAGCCTTGAATGGAAATGTACATCCTGGCTGCAACCCCAGGGTTTACAAAGGCCCAGCCATCTCTCGTGGAAGCCTCTCGCCCTGTGGGGCACTGCTGGACATCAGCTTGCCTGATACGCTACATACAAAAAGGCAGGTCCCCGGCTCCGGGTTCCCCTGCACAGCTTGCCATCGGTGTGGCAAGGGAGGGCATGTGGTCAGCTGCAGCCTCGCACCCAATCCAGATGGAAGCGAACATGATTGTTCTGGGATGTGAGGCAACCACGACCATGTCCCATCTGGTTATCGTAAAGATGGTCAGCTAGTCACAAGTGCTGGGGAGCTGCCATCAAGTGGACTACGACCCAGCTCCCTCCAACCCGGCGTTCTGCAGGCCGCAGATGGACGCTCAATGGCAGACAACGAGATGGCCAGCTGCTCTGCCTCCCAAGGGGAGAACAAAGGCCAGAACGAGAACCAACATGTTATTCAATAGTCTGTGGGGGCACTTTTGTGTAAGAACGAGAGCAAATCGTTAATTCGTCACCAAGAAATGGACGGCCATTGTAACCACAAGGTACAAGCAGCTGCGTTAAGCCAAATTATCTGCTGAAAAATTTAAAAGTACTTTCATTATGAAATCCAATGATGAAAAATACCCCCTCGAACTTAAGCTATGGCCTAGAGCTTTCTGACTTTCATTGCAGAAGTCTGTTCTGTTTCTCGATTGAGGGGACGAGGGGAGGGGAGGTGATTTTGGCAAGCTTTGAGAGCCAATTGGGAGACTCAGTCTGTCACAGAACGTCAGGAATTCAAGGCCCAGGGAGGATGGCTGGAAACAAAACGTATCAACTAAAAGAAGCAAGTGATGTTGACAAAAAAGATGCTCGGAATATCTGTGCAAAACATGTTATCTCTCCGGGGATTAGCCATGCACGGTGTAAATGTCAATTCAGAAGAGGATTGGAATTTGGTCACATGTCCCATTGGAAAAAATACCCTTCGACCCTTTTCATTTGGTCTTTTGTGGCAAATGTTCACATTTAGAAATTTGTGGGGTTTTTTTTCTTTTTAAGCAGAACGGATAGCTTGTGGGAAAGTCACAACTCAGTCTCTCAGCGCCTCAGGGATTTTTAGAGCCCCCGCTGCATTTTTACACTTGATCTCAAATGGGGACAGTGTGGCCACCTGCTTGTTAACGAGATAAGGTTTATAAGGAGCTTACCCCTCCCTTATTTAGAGCCCTGAGGACACCACAGCAGTAGCCAAGAGTCACCTTGATGATGCCTCATATCTGAACACCTTTCCTGTATGCAGTAAACACGTGTGGGGGGGGGGGGGGCTGCAAGGACAGCAAGCTCCGAACCATCCTAACTGCACAGCGGACAGGGTGGCCCAAGTCTTAGTGCAGGCTTAACAACTGCATAAGCGTAAATGCTACAAGCTTACAAAAAGATGCCTTCTGAAAAGTCAGTCCCTCTGATGGAAGATAGCAAGCACTGCCTAGAACAAAAAATGAAACATACTCAAATTTCACAAAAGTAAATGTGAAAGAACTTTAAATAAACTTTCACATGGATATTTTTGGTAAATTTGTAACATTTACACTTCAGAAACTTGGAAAGCTGGAAACAAGCTGTATTAAGACTTTTAGGACACCCTGTCTGCAGGGCTCAGATACTACACATTTCAACATTTAGTCCCAAGTGTAAAGACATGATGGCATTCTTTATGGGGCTGAGCCTAAATACGGATCCCCTTTTCCTTCCCTGGCTCCCCAACTCTCTGACGGCAAGGCCAGGTCCCAGTATAGCCACAGAGATTCTTTGTGCTCTTCCTTCTAGAGATGTGGACACATGAAAAGAGAAAGCAGTGTTCGTGCACTGGTCAAGAGCATACTCGGGTTCTCACCCCAGGTAAGTCACTGTAATTCATTTCGGCAGACCTTTGGTCAATGCCAAGTGTGCATCAGGATCCAGATACACCTGGGTGCCTTCCACAAAGGAGACCAGTCAGTCCCTGTGTGAGCTTCTGGCTGTCTACTCATCTGTCTGGTCAACTTACTGAGCTCTCAGCAGATACCATAACCCAAGAAAAAGATGACGTATTACAAAATACGATCATTAGCTCTCCATACAGCCATTTCACATTAACAATCATAACTGCACCCAACACCTCCAGAACAGGTGTGATCACACCACCACCCCAGCATCTGTAAGAGAAAATGGAGGCTCAAAGAGGTTAAGTGATTAGGCTGGAGACACAGGGAGTGGGAGAGATGGCCTGACACAAGCCCAAGCTTCTGCCGTGCCTTGTCATCTTGTCATGTTTGTGGCCATTTGTTTGGCCATTACTCAGCATGTGGGACCCTGAGACCCTCACCCCAAAAGAAAAACAACAACAACAAAAAAAACAAAAACAAAAAAAGACCCTACAATGACCTTCCATTTTACACTGAAAGTATTCTAAGGTCCTCACACATTGAGCAAGGATACAACTGTGTCACAGTTGAAAATGTCAGGTGTTTGAAAATGAGGCTGAGTTGAGGCGAGCAAGTGGCAACAATAAGGGGCTGGGAACTTGAGAGGGACTTGGGGCACCTCAGGCTCCTCTTAACAGGATGGTGCCACGTTCTATTGAATGTTCTGTTGACTCAGGGCCAGAGATCTAAGCTGGAGCCTGCACCTGCCAATGAAAAATGACCTCAAGCTATCCTAACTTTCCAGATTCTGTTCACCTATAAAATGGGTCTAATATCTAATAGGAGATAGGAAAGATTCATCCTTACCCAATGGTAGAAAGGATTTCTTATGACCTATTAATTTGCCCATCAATGCTATTACCCCCGGTCCCCCCCTAAACCCATGTCTCTTAAACATGACCCTCACTCATCTAGCTTCATAAATTCACTCACCTCCTCTGGCTCCCCGCCCCATGGGGGCCTACTCTACCACCCTGTTCCCCGATACAAGGACCTCACCTTTAGTTCTGGAATTGCGATTTGGAGTTCTCTTTAAACCTTCCTGCCTCTACATTTTTATAGGGTTTATTTTTACAAAAACTACATTCACTATTCTCAAAACATTCTCTCACAGACATGTGCACACAAACCTAAACCCCACCACCACTGCTAAAACAGCCCACTTGGGGGGGGGGGCAGGCTGGCAACCTGAGCACAATCCCCAATGAGCCCCCTGTGACCTCCAACAAGTCACTGTCCCCTCTGAACTTCAGGTTCTCCCATCTGTGAAACAAGGGGTCAGGAGCCCCTTCCAGGGGTAGAATTCCAAGAAACCAAGAGTATGGTGCAAGGGAAGGACAGAGGAATACACACTGTCCACCATCTTGCCTAAGCCCCTGAATGTGAGGTGAGGAGGCTCTCCATGTGCATTCGCCCTATGAGTAGGTACATCCAGCTCCACTTAACAGATGAGCACAGGGAGGCTGGGAGAAGTTGAGCCATGTCTCTCCACCTCCCCACGCACTGCATCACCAGCATCCCTTCACTGGTGTAACATCCGTGGAAGTCTGCCACGTGTCAGACACTATGCTAGGCCCTGGGGGCCTGGGGGTGCTGTGTGAGTCCCAAGTGAGCCCTCTCAGGGAAGCGAGCCTTGCAAGTACACCCCACCTGTCTCCCCAGAGGGTAGGTGCTGCAGAAGATCCTGACATTTACTGGTCCGGGTGCCAAGCTCTGTCCTAGGCGGTTAATAAATTTGTGCTCAGGTACTCCTTGCAACACGCCTCCGAGTTAGGTTCTGTAGTATTCCCTTTTGATAGACCCAGACACGGAGCACAAAACGATTAAGTAACTTGCAGAGGCCACACATGCAGTTAGTGGCAAACCTGGACTCCCAGGCAGTTACGTACAGCGGCCCTAAGTCGGAGGTCTCAAGCACTGTGCCCTAAGGCCTCCTCCTTAGGGGCAGAGCTCCCCAAGCCTCGGGGAGGACGACAGCCTTGTCCCCAACACGCAGCATGCTGAAGCCCAGTCCCGCGGCGACCCCGGACAGAAGGGGTTCCCGGCACGAGGACCCTTCCGTCCTAAAACCGGGAAGAATCGGTCATCTTAAGCCCAAGCCTGCTTCCACCGCCCGGAGTACGAGGGAGATCTGAAAGGGCCGCCGCCTCCTTCCGTGGGTAAGCCCAAGGAGGGGCTCTAAAGGTGGAAACGCAGGCGTCGGCCCCACCGCCCGCTCCTGAGCCCCAGCCTCCCGGGTCGGACCTCTGGGCCGCCGCCCCTCACCTCTCGGCCGGCGCCCGCCGACGGCTTCAACCCGCCGCGAGGAGCACGTGGAAAAGCCGCCGCCCGACCAGCGCCGCAGCCGCCTCCCTCCAGCTCGTCCCGGCGCACAGCTCGCCTCGGGGCCGCCGCCCGCGCCTGCGCGCCGCGGCTGCCCTCCCGGCGGAAGTGACGGCCCCGGAAGCCGGGCGCGGATCCGGCCGGCCGAGGGGGCGTGGTCGGGATGGTTCCGCGGCCGCCGGAGCCCGGCGAGCGGCGCTGAGGGCGGCGGCGGGGCAGGCGCGGCCTCTGAGGGTACGTAGCCGCCGGGCCGGGGACCGGCCTCGCGGGGGCGCGGGGGCCCGGCGCGGTGCAGTGGGAATGGCCGGGCGAGCGGGCCGGGCCCTGAGCCGCCGCCCCCGCCGCCGCCCCCGCCCCCGGGCAGCGCGAGGGTCGCGCGGGAGTTGGCTGCGGCCCCCGGACCCGGCGCGGAGCCCGCGCCCCCCCCGCGCCGCCCCCGCGCCGCCCCCGCGGCCCCCGGGCGCGCCCCCGGTCCCCTCCCGTCACCCTGTAGTCCGGCAGTGCTGAGCACCTCGGCGCCCCCGGCCCCGCGCGGCCTCGTTTCCGTGTGCGCTGAGCGCGCGCGGGCGGCGGGCGCAGGGACGTCGTCCCCGGTCCGGTTCGGGCGGCGGTGAACGAAGGGCGCTCGCGCAGCGCCTGCGGCTTCGTGGTTTAGCTGCTCTCCGCGCCCCCGAGACGGGGCTGGCACACGCCGGCGGTCAGTGAGCGTGCCTAACCGAGTGACTAGCCGGTGAACGGGTGTGAGCAGGGTTTGCGAGCTACGGTAACCCCGGCGCGGCCGGGGTGGGGAGGACGGGGAGGGGCTTTCGCTCCCGAGGCGAGGGGGTTTAGGCCTGGAGCAGGGGGTGCATCCCTTTGCCAGGCCCGCCATGACAAAATGCCGCCGACTGGTTATTTTCTCGCAGTTCTGGAGGCTGGAAGTCCAAGATCAAGGTAGCAGCGGACTGGTTTCTCCTGAGGCTGCACAGCTCGGCTCACAGGCACCCACCCCTGTGCCTCGTTTTCACACGGCCCTTCTTCCGTGCAGGAGCATCCCTGGTGTCTCTGTGTCCAGATCTCCTCTTTCGGGGACATCAGTCAGATTGGATTAGGGTCCACCCTAATGGCCTCATTTTAACTTAATTACCTCTCTGAAGACCGAATCTCCAACCCAGAAATATTCTGAGTTACTGGGGGTTAGGGTTTCAACATAGGGATTTTGGAGGGAACACGATTCAGCCCATCACACAAGGAATTCACCAGAATGGACAAGGAAGAAAACGTTTTCCAACAGAAGTGACAACGTGGCCTCGAGGTTTTAAAAAGCAGGTGCTTGAGGTTTTTTGTGTGCCGGGCACATATGTGTGCCTCATTCTTGCTACACTCTCCTGCATTTGTTTTTTCATTTGCTCCCCCTGGAAACCCGGGGGGGGGGGGCGGGGCGCTTTCTTCATTCTTTCTCTGTAACCCACGTTTTCAGCACACGTCTCTTCCTTGGGGTTTTCCCTCACCCTCCTCCTTCAGGTTAATTTGTACTTCTCACTCAGTATCTCCAGTAAGTGGCTATTCTTGTTTCTCGATGTCTGGGGTATCGGGGTACAAGAGCACCTGGCTCTGGGGGTCCCAAACAGACCACTGACAAAATCCAAAGGCAGAGAAATGGGTGGTGGTGAAACAAGAAAGGGATTTATTTCAGGGAGGCCAACACGGGGAAGACCCAGACTAGCTTCCCAAAGACTGTTTCCAAGTCTCAGAAGTGCTTCCAGGTTTATATTAAAGAAAATCTGGGACAAACATTGGTGGATATGTGCAGGTGGGCATCGAAGGTCAAGTCCATCGTTGTCTTGGAGTCAGTCACGTGGGGTCTTCCTGGCTTAGGGCAGTCCTTATGGCTTGATGAGGTAGTTTCAGTTCCCATCAGGGGATGCTTTGCCTGCAGGGTCTTTTGCCTGATTAAGAGATGAGCCAGAGGGCGCCTGGGTGGCTCAGTTGGTTGAGCAACTGCCTTCGGTTCAGGTCATGATCCTGGAGTCTTGGGATCGAGTCCCGCATCGGGCTCCTTGCTCAGCGAGGAGTCTGCTTCTCCCTCTGACCCTCCCCCCTCTCCTGTGCTCTCTCTCTCTCATTCTCTCTCTCTCAAATAAATAAATAAAATCTTAAAAAAAAAAGAGAGACGAGCCGGAAAGAAGAATGTAATCAGTTAGAAAGTACAGACCGAGGTGAGTTGAATTGCTCGTTCAGTCCTGTACACTGAGGCTTCCTGAAGGTGTAGGTGACCACATGTGAGTTTTTTCTCCCTCGTACCCTCAGTGTCCGGCATGTAGTGACAGTCTGTAAAGGTAAGTGAATGATGTGGAAACTGAGACAGGGAGCAGCTCTCACTTTATCAGCATTTCCTCCTCACAACAACGTCTTGCACGTGTCAGGCACACGGTAGCAGTTCAACCACGTGGGCCTGCGAAGCATCGCAGAGGCAGTGTAGAGCTAAGGCAAGAACCAGGCTGGCTGGCTTGAAGCCATTGTTTCTGTCATGGGGTTCAGGGTTCGGGGTTCGGATGGGGCTGCGGATTAGGAATAAGCCATCTGAAAACCATCATGGCCAAAGACGAGGGTGGGACCACGGTAAGGCAGGCT